AGGCCTCAATGATGTCAATGAGTTGCCTTTTGACACAGTCCTCCTCAATAGCATTTTGTAACTGGGCCTCTGCTGGCAGTTGTCTCTTCAGCCGCTCATGGCAGTGTCCCTTCAATTTAGCCTTTAAAAAGTAGATCATAACAAAAGAAATTACAACAATATATATAGCAGAAGTAAACCCATTCTATGTTTACAAACGTTAGTGTTCTAACATTCTTATTCCACTTGCTGGTTGTAGAAAGGCCCTGTCCAAATACCCACACTTGCGCTCTTGTACCCCTTAATTGCGCGCTCCCGCTAAGGGGCGCAAGTGCGTAGGGTGTCCAAATTGTCTTCTGTTGTTATCAAAGGGTGCAAACCTGCGCCCTTAATGCACCCCTTCCGAAAGTGCGCATCAGACCTCACTTCGCTGAAGGATTTTACCCAGAATCCTCTGTAGTGTCGTGACGCCGTAACACTGCACAGCTGGCCGGTATAACTCACCATCTTCAAACGGTAACTGACGTATCCGCAAGCCGTTAACTCCGACTGACAACAACCGTTAGAGGAACATAACGTCAAACAACACGCTGTGTGGTCTTAATAATACATGACAGGGCGTTAATAATGAAATAATATACAGTTTACAGTTGACCTGAGGTTTGTATGATAGTCCACATCACTTTACAGTTTTGATTGTGTCTTTAATTATTATTATTTTATTACCGTATGTCTTTATAGTTTATTTTATATCACAATTTACCACAATTTATCCAAGCAAAAAAACCTTGTAATAGTAATAATGGTAATCTAGGCTACGTTAACGGTAGAGTAAAAAAAGATGTTACAGCTAATATACACATTATTAACAGGTAAATTCAAGAGTAAAATTTAATTTAAAAAATTTACCTGTTGGTTGGGCATCAGCATCAATACTTGGATCTGATGTAGATGCCGCCTTCTCCTGCGGCTCCTAATCCTCCTCATCATTCGCTGATTGTATCTATTTATCATTTGCAGCAGCAGTACTGTGAACAATGTTATTTCCTCTATCGCCATGTTTTGTCTCCTAGGAGACGGACCAGCTGGACCCAAACGGAAGTGACGTGTACGCAACTGTCCCAATTCTCCTTTTTAAACAGCGTCAATCCCTTGCGCACTTACGCCCCTAACTGCACTTTTGGCAAGAGCACTTCAGGGAAGACCTCAGGGCGCAAGTGCGGGTATTTGGACAGGGCCAAAGTCTGGCTTTTTAAATGAGTGGAACTCATTAGTGGATGGATGGATGGATGGATGGATCAGATAGACAGATAGATAGATAGATATCCCTCCGCACAATCAACCATAATCTAGGAAATTATTTTAGGTATATAGAAAAGTATGGGCCTATTACAATTGCATAACCAGCTCAGCACACAGACACACACGTTTACGTCCATGAACATAAATGTAACAATAAATATACATACATTAAGAAGATCTCTCCTCTCCTTCACTGGTGCACCTCTGTATTTCCCTCTCATTGTCTTTAGCTTGGTTGTAACTATGGAGTGGTTAACATCCTCCCTTTGATGAGGAAAATCTACAGACATATCTGGATAATGCTCTGAAATGAGGGCCAGTATGTCGGTATATTTGGTCTGGCACGACTCCCAGTCAATGTTCTATTTTTCTAGTTTTAGATAAGATAAGAATACTTTATTGTCACCTTTAAAATTGTCAGACAATATCACTGTGAAATTCTGTTTAGCAGCTCCTATTTGGCAGTAAAGTACAAAAATGGAAAGTAAAAATGAAAACAATGCATTTATATTCTAATGTCACATTTAGCAGGAGTTCTACTTCTCTGTCTGTCCAAATAAACGATCCTGGCGCCATCTCTGTGTTCACAAAGGAACAGGAAGTGACTAGTTGTTGCCGGTTGCCCTTTTCAGGATTCTGATTGGCTAACGTGGCTTGAGCTTCTCGTTACACTGCCATCTACAGGTTTGGCATGCTCTTGACGGCATATTTATGCGGGTCCATGTAAATGAAAACTTTCCTAAAAACGGCCAGGTGTGTACTATGTTATTTTTGAAAACGGAGAGGGGGAAATATCCTGTGTGTAAACTAAGCAAGCATTGTCCGGGGATAAATGGCAAGGTTGTGTTGTGTTGTGTTGACAGTAGGGTTGTCAAAAGTATCGATACTCTGAAAAGTATCGATACTCAAAGGCTGTATCCGGATACAATACTAATTCACAAAAGTATCGATACTAACAGTGCACGCCACCTCAGCGCCTGTCGGGTGCGCACGACGAGTCCGACGGACACGCGCTGTGCAGGCAGCGCCTGGCAGGCACAGAGCCCTCACTGCAACCCGGCTTGTTGTCGTTGCTGTGCATGTATGCAAACATTTCTGTTGCTGTAATATGGCCAGCGCAGCTGCAGGAGGATCAGAGCAGCCGGTTTTGGTCAAAAATGATAAAGGAAAAAGCGCTCTTTGGAAATATTTAGTGAAGTGAACACAGCACGCTGCAGACGGCAGGTACTGCCCCTCCCCTCACTAGCAGCTGAGCAGCTGGTGTCGCCAGCATCAAACTAAAATATAACTTCTAACGTTAATGTGGGAGCTAAGCAGAAAACTTTATCAGTCATGCCTGTCTGTAACATTGATAGACAATGTTAGTTTCACATAGGAAAGAAGCAAGCACTCTCAAAATAAATCCACTCAACAGGTGCACAGCCAAAAGCAGCAGAAAAAAGAAAAGAAGCCAGCACTCACGAATGTCCTTTTGGTAAATTTAATAAACCAACTTGGGTGGCGTTACCAGAAACACAGACGTTTCGACAGAAAGTCTTCTTCAGTGTGAAGAAGACACTGAAGAAGACTTTCTGTCGAAACGTCTACGTTTCTGGTAACGCCACCCAAGTTGGTTTATTAAATTTACCAAAAGGACATTCGTGAGTGCTGGCTTCTATTCTTTTTTTAGACAATGTTAGTTTAACAGGATAACACAATTATATGTGTCTGAAAAGTTATGTTAACTGTAAAGTCACAGATTGAAGCTGAAAAAACGTTTGGTTTTTCCCGTAACCCCTGGTTCTGTGATCACAAAGTGAGGTAGAAACAGGAGCATCCTGAGCCTAAACTACCAACTCTATTTGATCAGCAACGAAAATATGGTGCCAGTTCACCAGAAGCACAGAAAATAAACAGGGCTGTAGATAAATACATTTGTATGGACAGATCTTGTTTCTGGTTGTTATTTCTTTTGGGGGGAATTTTTGTTGTTATCATTGATGTTACTGTTCTGATCTTTATTTAAAAAATGACATGTCTCTTAAATTTTTGCTGCTGTATCGAAAATGGTATTGAGTATTGAATTTTTTCTTGGGTATCGATATTGAGTTTGAAATTTTAGTATCGTGACAACCCTATATGGTTGTAGTTATGGTTCTGTTCATCTGTCTAAAATTTAAACAGATAAATCCCAAATCAGAAAACTTTATTTACATCACTATATAGACGGTTTATCAGGGGTGGGAATTGCTAGGGGACCCATATTTTGATGTCATCCCGATACTTAGGTCATGATATGATATTATTGCAATATGCTGATTATTGCGATAAAATGTATTACACTTTATTACCTTTTTTCAACTGCAAATGAACTCCCCAAAGGAAAACTTTGTCAACATCAGTTTTACCTCATAAGATAAAGTTTTTAGTCTGTTCATCTCAAATGTGATGCAAAGCAGACAGGCTAACCAACACTATCATAAAACCTGTCATAAACGCTGCAAACACCTGACAAACTTAACTGTTGGCATATCTAACGCCCTCTGCAAGGCCAGATTAAAAGTAAGCGTAACACTTAACATGCAGGTAACCCACTAACTGAATGGTAACACTCATGTTAGAAGTGTTGTCTGTTACAACAATCCTCCGTTCTTGTGCTGCATGTTGCAGTAGGTCTGCAATGTTTGCTCTGGTGTGACTTTAGTGTACTACTCTAGTTTGGAGAATGTGAGACAGTAGTCACCAGTAATGCCACCCTTCCTGCTATACTCAAAGATTCCTCAACTTTATGCTTCACCTCTCTGTAGAGCTTTGGTACGGCTGTGTCGGTGAAAAAACTTCAGGACAGAGTCACATACCTGAAAAGCCTTTTTAATGATGCTGTAAGGACGCAGATCTTTGCAAATGAAGTAGGTGATGGATTGTGTTTTTATCTTAGCCCTCTCAGAGTTGGATGGTAGTTTTGTCAAGCTAAGTGGATCCAGTGTTAGTCAATCTTTCGGCGAAGCGGGTCTAACGTTAGCTTGGCCATCAGCAGCTAATGCTATCTCTAGATAGTGGAGTGTGAAGTGAGCCCTCATGTTGGTAGTATTCCCAGAGTATTTTATTCTTGTAAGACGCTGCTTGCAAACCACATTTGTCATATCCAAGTCTTCCTTTCCTTTCCTTTCCTTTCCTTTTGTGTTAAAAGATCCAAAATAAGTCCAGACATTTGATTTAAATGCCAACAGCGCATTTCTGATTTCTTTCTCTGGTGCCTTCACCTTTCTTTTGATGAACTTCCTGCCAAATGCCATTGACTGAGACCTCTACTGACCTCACCATAAAAAAAACCCCAAAACATCACCACCATTTAGTGGACTGAAAAAGCAATTGATGATATTATTCTATTACCAAAAGTTGTACCGAAATGTGTGGTTTTATAAAAATTAATAATGTATATGATAAGATAGATACTTGGCATACGTGTATTGATACAATATCGCCACGCAAAATATCACAATACTATATGCTGTATCGATTTTTTTCCCCCACCCCTACTGGCTGTAGGTGTGTAATGGTCTTATGAGTAAGTTCAATATTGATTTAGGTAAAATGTTGGCTTCACTCTTACAGTTGTGCTTCCTTGGCATTGTATTTTTTTTTAGAACCTTAATCTGTTCAAACTACTTGCAACTTATCTCCATCATACTCTGCTCTGAACTACTGTGTATCCTCCTCTCTTCTTTTGCTTTCAACAGCACCAGCAGACGCTACTAAACCAGTTGAGGGAGGTCACAGGCACCACAGATGTTCAGTTGCTTCAGCAGGCCCTGCAGGTACATCATCAAACTCATGCAGGTTTATGAAACGCTGGAAAACATGCAAAAAATAGGTGATAGACTCCTTTCCCATTGCAAGTGCACTAGAGCCATGTACCTCTCTGCAGCGGACAATAGTTCCTTTCTGTTAATTATTTATTTACTGGTGTGTTAAGTTCATTGTCACAAACAGGCTGGGAATTTGTGGTGGCGTATCATTGCATCCTGCCAGAAAAGGAATAATAATAAGAATAAGAATGACTTTATTCATCCCCAAGGGGAAATTCAATTATCTGTCAGCTCATCTATTATACAGTGGGTACGGAAAGTATTCAGACCCCTTTAAATTTTTCACTCTTTGTTTCATTGCAGCCATTTGCTAAAATCAAAAAAGTTCATTTTATCCCTAATGAATGTACACTCAGCACCCCATCTTGACAGAAAAAAAAACAGAAATGTAGAAATTTTTGCAAATTTATTAAAAAAGAAAAACTGAAATATCACATGGTCATAAGTATTCAGACCCTTTGCTCAGTATTGAGTAGAAGCACCCTTTTGAGCTAGTACAGCCATGAGTCTTCTTGGGAATGATGCAACAAGTTTTTCACACCTGGATTTGGGGATCCTCTGCCATTCTTCCTTGCAGATCCTCTCCAGTTCTGTCAGGTTGGATGGTGAACGTTGGTGGACAGCCATTTTCAGGTCTCTCCAGAGATGCTCAATTGGGTTTAGGTCAGGGCTCTGGCTGGGCCAGTCAAGAATGGTCACAGAGTTGTTCCGAAGCCACTCCTTTGTCATTTTAGCTGTGTGCTTAGGGTCATTGTCTTGTTGGAAGGTGAACCTTCGGCCCAGTCTGAGGTCCTGAGCACTCTGGAAGAGGTTTTCTTCCAGGATATCTCTGTACTTGGCCGCATTCATCTTTCCTTCAATTGCAACCAGTCGTCCTGTCCCTGCAGCTGAAAAACACCCCCATAGCATGATGCTGCCACCACCATGTTTCACTGTTGGGACTGTATTGGGCAGGTGATGAGCAGTGCCTGGTTTTCTCCACACATACCGCTTAGAATTAACGCCAAAAAGTTCAATCTTGGTCTCATCAGACCAGAGAATCTTATTTCTCATAGTCTGGGAGTCCTTCATGTGTTTTTTGGCAAACTCTATGCGGGCTTTCATATGTCTTGCACTGAGGAGAGGCTTCCGTCGGGCCACTCTGCCATAAAGCCCCGACTGGTGGAGGGCTGCAGTGATAGTTGACTTTGTGGAACTTTCTCCCATCTCCCTACTGCATCTCTGGAGTTCAGCCACAGTGATCTTTGGGTTCTTCTTTACCTCTCTCACCAAGGCTCTTCTCCCACGATTGCTCAGTTTGGCTGGACGGCCAGGTCTAGGAAGAGTTCTGGTCGTCCCAAACTTCTTCCATTTAAGGATTATGGAGGCCACTGTGCTCTTAGGAACCTTGAGTGCTGCAGAAATTCTTTTGTAACCTTGGCCAGATCTGTGCCTTGCCACAATTCTGTTTCTGAGCTCCTTGGGCAGTTCCTTCGACCTCATTATTCTCATTTGCTCTGACATGCACTGTGAGCTGTAAGGTCTTATATAGACAGGTGTGTGCCTTTCCTAATCAAGTCCAATCAGTTTAATTAAACACAGCTGGACTCTAATGAAGGAGCAGAACCATCTCAAGGAGGATCAGAAGAAATGGACAGCATGTGAGTTAAATATGGGTGTCACAGCAAAGGGTCTGAATACTTATGACCATGTGATATTTCAGTTTTTCTTTTTTAATAAATTTGCAAAAATTTCTACATTTCTGTTTTTTTTCTGTCAAGATGGGGTGCTGAGTGTACATTCACGAGGAATAAAATGAACTTTTTTGATTTTAGCAAATGGCTGCAATGAAACAAAGAGTGAAAAATTTAAAGGGGTCTGAATACTTTCCGTACCCACTGTATGTCAAAGAATTATAAAGCCTGATGGCTGTTGGTATATAGGATCTTCTGTATCTCTCTGTCCTGCGTCAAAGAGGGAGGAGCCGTCCACCAGAGTTTTTTTGGTCCATCAAGGTGTTCTGTTCTGGATGATGTGGGTTGTTCATGATGGCCTCGAACATCTTCAGTGTGCATCTCTCCACCACCTCCTCCAGTGTGTCCAACCTGACTCCAATCACAGAGCCAGCTCTTTTGACTAGTTTGTCCAGCCGCCTTGCATCTTTGTGTCTGATGCTTCCTCCCCAGCAGACTGCAGCATAAAAGTCTGCTGGGGAGGAAGAGGTTTCCATTAGTTTTTGTGATAAGAATTTGGTATTTTTAAGACCAATACAATACCATTTTTATAAGGGGAAAATGATTACCAATATGGCAGCCGATTGAGTGAACTTATGAGTTGGTATTGTACCGTCCTGTCTGGATGGATGCGTTGAATGAACAGAAGGACTGACCTGCTTGCAACCAAGTGTTTATTAAGCACAAAACTTGGTTACTGTCGGCCGTAACCACGCCGTACCAAAACAAAGCACATTAGCTTCGCTCACTAGCTGCTGCTCTCCCTTCCCGCTGCCCTGGAACAACAACAATGCACCACGCCCTCACATCACTTCCTGCCTGCCTCCCTACTAACTGCAGACCCACAAACACACTCATTTAGCTCTTGTGGCTACTTATCCACTCACTTAGTCAGCAGCATGAACAGTAATTGTCAACTTGTAAACTGTCTGACTTATAAAACAACACATAAGATAACACATTAACAGATTGGTACAGTATGAAAATAGACCTTTTCTACATGGATTGTGCATCAATATGATCATGCAGATGTACTCAGTAGGCTGCTTTCTTACACAAATAACTTAATTAAAGAATATTTAACATTATTAAACACTAACCAATTCTAAAAATTAGCAACTGTCTGGATTTGCAAGATTCCCTGCTTGTCTTTGCTTTGCAGGTATTGTACATACATGCTGAGTCATTTGCATCTGCCTAGGTTCCATTCAAACCTGTGGCCCTTTGCTGCATGTCATCCCCTCTCTCTGTCCCACATTTCCTGTCTGTCTACAACTCTCCTATCATTAAGGCCCAGACACACCAAACACTTCAAGACTTCAAAGAGCTAGCCGCAACAAAACATGACTGTGTCTCTGCCAAAAAGTTGCACATGAATGTACCACAAAGACTACAGCCAATGGCTAACCAGCACATACCTTCTGCGCCTGTGTGAAAGGAAATTAGTCTCCACACCAGCAGATGGGGTTGTCTGCAGGTGATTGTTGATTGAACACAGCTGATCTGCAGACTCCACTGCAGCTGTTAAATCAGTGCATGCACTGCTAGTCTTGTAACTCACACTGATGAAGGCCAGACGGCCGAAAGTGCTTTGTCCTTAAAAATGCTTGAAAGGCTTCATTAAAAACTTTTTATCTGCTGACGGACACATCTGTGTGCGATCCTCAAACTATTTTTGTTCTTCCAGCCACTTTCATATGTGGTCCTAAATATGACAAATATCCCATCACTGGTCATGCGACCACTTTGAAAAGGGTCATATCGTATCAGCCTATGTGTTTCTTTCTCATACATCTGTGTTTTTTCACTTCAGATTTCACTGCACAGGTGTAGATCACTCGGCCCATTGAAACAACAGAATGCTGCCGTAGCTGTAGCGCAACTGCTGTAGGTTGCCCCAGTCACAAGCTAATAAAGCCAGACTGCCAGACTCTTGCTCTTCTGTAAACCCCTCCACATTGTGGCCCCATCACTCCTGAGTTCTCCCCTGGCTGGATCCACACCTCTCTCTCCACAGAACAATCAGCAATAGCTACTAATAGAGTTAGTTGACCGAAAGTATGTTTGTACGACAGCCAGTTATCCCGAAAACAGCCCTCCTTTGTTCCAATGGGCCATATCTCCAAAAATACACTACTCACTCCCCCAAATGGACGGACATGGCCATGACCTCTCGGGAGATGAAGCTTTGCAGCTTCTTTGTCATTCGCTTTTTCTCAAAATTACTGTTTTGTAAAGGTAATCCTTTTTGTTGTTGTCCCAACAGGCCTGTGCATGAAGTTATTGGTTGCGTGTGAAGCATTCAGGGCAGAGATCCGTTGTCAGATATGGGTCAACCCAAACATAATTGTGAACAGTCTAGGCAGAAAGACACATTGTGGGGAAATAATAAGGATTGAGCATTAAGCCCTGTAATGTGAATGCAGTCTTATTTTGATTTTTCTGCCACAGAGCTCGGCACTGTGGCGCATCCAGTGTGAACAGTCAAATAACTTGACTTGGGCGTCGAATGGAAGCGGATGCTCTAAGGGAAATCTCTATGCTTAGCACAGCTTTGTTAGCTTAAAGGGATAGTGCATCCAAAAATGAAAATTCAGCCATTATCTACTCACCCATATGCCGAGGGAGGCTCAGGTGAAGTTTTAGAGTCCTCACATCCCTTGCAGAGATCCAAGGGGAGAGGGGGTAGCAACACAACTCTACCTAATGCAGGCTGGGAGCCCCAGATTAAAACGTCCAAAAACACATACCGGTGGCAAATAGCTGCCGGGCACCTAATATCCGCCGGGGGTTTGACTCCATTTTGCGTATTAAACGCCGGTCCGATTAAACGCCTGGACGATTATTTCCTCATTCATTGCCTCATGGTTGGCCCTCCTTGAGGGAATGTTTGCACTTTTATGCACGGGTCGGTGGTGAAGTGGTGCACATGACTCGTGCTATGGACGGACGGACAGACAGCCACGTATCTAAAACAGGTAATACATCTGGCTACATCTTTCCCATATCAAATATCCGTGATCGCCTCGACCTGCGTGCATAAAAGCGCACACAATTCCGTGTCCTCTCACCGCGGATGCTGTGATTTGATAGCCCGGTACTCATTGTAGCCCACTCTTATAAGACCCAATAATAATAATTAATATGTTACTGTGGACCTATATGCCATGCCTTTTAATAAAATTACCAGAAGAGTTCGCTGAAAAACAGGTAATGTCAGCCTGAATTACTCACATGCGTCCCCGGTGAAAATCGCTGACATGCATGGGAATACAGCTTCCACAGGCTTGCCATAGCTTACTGTCAGGACTCAGGGACCAGAATTCGGGATGGCGGACCATCAGAATGGCGATATTTCGGTGTGGCGGCCTGTAACTGTTGGTTAAATGGCCCGTTCGGTTGGTATTCGGATAACTGGGGCTTTACTGGTATAATGCAATAGCACCACCCAGCGATGAAACCCGTGTACACGAAAAAAATGACCCACTCTAAATGTTTAGAGATTTTTGTACACGAACTCACCCCTACATTATACAGTATTTTTGCACTAAAAAAAACATATTGGACAGGAACTGTAACCAAATAATGGCCTGGTGCAGGTTGGTACAAAAAAAAAAAAAAAAAAAAAAAGAAGCCTTGAGCAAATAGCCGCCTGGTTCTTCTAAACGCCTGGGGTCAAAATCAATTTTGTGAAATAAATGCCCAGGCTACTATTTGGAAAAATACGGTAATTGAAACGACAAAATATCTCCATACTGCTCGTCCGTAGTGATCCAAGTGTCCTGAAGCCCCGACATAAAAAGTTGTTTGGAAAAATGTCATTTAAATGCTGTTTTTAGCCTCATTGTAGCCTGTAGCTCTAACTGCCTCTCTGTGGACTGCGCTCACGTATGTACACTTGCGTGAGACCATGAGACATGGGCACCGCCTTCATGTGTGTTCATGTGCTTTTGCTGGTCTCGTGCGCAAGCGCGCACAAGTGAGCTCAGTGTACACAGAAGCAGTTAGAACTACAGGCTACAATGAGGCTAAAAACAGAGTTCAAAAGATGTTTTTCCAAACAACTTTTTATGTCGGGGCTTCAGGACACTTGGATCACTATGGACGAGCAGTATGGAGATATTTTGTGGTTTCAATTATGTGTTTTTTGGACGTTTTAATCTGGGGCGCCCAGCCTGCATTAGGTGGAGTTGTGCTGCTACCCCCTCTCCCCTGGGATCTCCGCAAGGGATGTGAGGACTCTAAAACTTCACCTGAGCTTCCCTCGGCATATGGGTGAGTAGATAATGGCTGAATTTTCATTTTTGGGTGCACTATCCCTTTAAGTTATCCTAAACAGAAGGCAAAGTCTTCAGATCTTATCAAAAAACTAAATCTGAAAAATATACTCAAACTTAAGCTGAAACAGGAGCTCCTTCTCATCATTTCCTGTATCCATCCTGTACTGACACCGCAACAAACACAAACATCGTTGCTGCAGGTGAGCAATGGAGACCTGGCCGAGGCTGTGGCCTTTCTGACAGAGAAGAATGCCAAGGTTCCTCAGCAAGATGAGTCAACCTACTACCACACATCCCAGGTGGCCAGTGACAGATACATCAGCGTGGGCAGCCAGGCAGACACAAGTGAGCACTCATTTAAACTTGTGGCCAGAAACTTCTAGAGACCTCCAAGGGATGATTGAAATAAAAAAGGAAACATAAATGATCAGTTTACTGTTTCATAACGTAAGGTCGCAAACCATTTTGAATTGTAATTAATTTGGAAACAATTTTACAACTATTGTTTTAGCTTTTTCAGTATGGACTATTGTATGTACTGTGGTAGCACAAAACATTAGACATAACCAAAGAGAGAATTTGCCAATTTTCAACAACCTCTGTGTAATCACGTTGGTGCAGATAAACAGTCTTTGGCCTCCCCCCATGCAGTCAGTGCCTGCAGCTCCCAGGCCATCCCTCTTAAAAAGTCAGCTGGGTGAAGTATTTGGCATCATTGATGACCTGTTCCGATGCGTTTCCTGTGGATGGGCAGGGACCTCCGGGCACTTGTCCTGTTGGGGGAAGCCAAAGAACATTCATCTGCACACACTTGAAAATCAGCAAAGTTTTCCTTAACAGTAGTTCCTTAAAGTATATAAACCATAAAGTTGTTCATACAAACCAAATTACAGTGTGCGTGTGTTCTGTGCAGATGTGATTGACCTGACTGGGGACGATAAAGATGACCTTCAGAGGGCTATCGCCCTCAGCCTGGAGGAATCCAACCGGACTTTCAGGGAGACAGGCATCACTGATGAGGAGCAGGCCATCAGCAGGTGGGCTCAGCAGCATTTCTGACTGATGAGCAGTGATGGGAATAACGGCGTTATAAATAAACGGCGTCACTAACGGTGCTACTTTTTCCAGTAACGAGTAATCAAAAAAGTTACTGTCTCGCCTGTTATAACGCCGTTACCGTTACTCTCAATAAAATGCGCCATTACTTGTCTTTACTTGAGTTCACTGAAGCAGCTTTCACCCTAGCAAGCTCCTTCTCAGCGGAGCTGTCAAGTTTTTTTTCTTTGGTGAGGGCAGGTGAGGGTGAGCAGGTGAGCTCTCTAAACGTCGCCTTTCTCGATACATATCCGTCTAATAAGTTATTTAAACGGATGGCATTATTTAAACGGACTGCAGGATGTTTCCACAGCTCCGCTCCCTCTGCATACACACAGGTGACGGTCAGTCAATGAGACTTTTCACATTTAAATCGCGCGATTAATGCAGGTTCTTTAACTATTTCGCTAACAAGTGGGTGAAATATGGAAAAAATACCATTAAGATTGTACAGTTGAGTTTATTTGATTTGATTTTATTTATTTATTTATTTTTTTTAAAAATGGGACAATTAATAAACAATTACTTGTAAATACATGAGATTATAGCCAGGCGGCTAATTTCCATCTCCAGTCCCATGGCAGGTTGATGTTAAACACAGAAGGCAACAATGCCAACAATAAGAAAATAATCTAAGTAAAACAGAGTAATACAAGCAAAACAACATACACAGAAACATAGTAGACCAAGAGTTGGGAGACCACAGGAATTTTTAGATATCGATTTATAAAGTGCCTGAGTGCTAGACAAAGTGTCAAGTGCAGAAGTGTCAAGTGCTAAAGTGTCTGCTTGTTTAAGTACTTGTTATATTGCACATTGCTCAAAATTGCACCAAATAGTAAAGTGCTAGATTGAATTGCACAATGCCCATAACACACGAATGCAAAAGTAGCATACATAGGTCTATTATGTATGCACTACTGCATAAAATTGACAATGGTGTCCCAACAATTTGCCTCATAGACAAATAAACAATACAAACAATTTAAACATAGTTAATGATCACAGTCCTGGTTTTCCAATAGCCATGCTTTGAGATGTTTGGTAAAGGAGGCGAGAGTTGGAAGTTCATATAATGTACTGTACTAATGTATTGTGTTCCCGGTCTGGGATGCACGATACGAGAATATTGCTTGTCCAGAGGCACTTTTCCTGAATGGTATAACACAGTCACCACTAGAGCCTGCTCTGGATGACCTGTTTGAGTTCTTTTTGACAAAGTCTTGTAGTGGAGGTGGAGCTTGACCATGAAAAATTTTATAAACTAACACAGAGTCGGTGTATTTTACTATGTTCTCCCAGTTTAGTTGTTCATGTTTCTTCAATATCTGGCAATGGTGGAACGATTTCGGTTTTTTATCTAGTACTTTTAAAGCCTTTTTAGAGACTGTTTTAATTGGCTTTAGAGTTGTTTTAAAGGCCGTGGCCCAGCTTGTTATGCAATAAGACATATGGCATAATCATGGCATCAAAGTATAGATTGGCCGACTCTGTGGTTGATTATTCCTAATAAATCTAAAGTTAGACAATTTAAATTTCATTCTGTTCAGTCTTTTTTACCTGTTGTTTAAAACAAAGTTGTGAATTAAGAAGGATTCCTAAATATTTAAATTCTTGTACTATGTCGATCTTTTAAAAAATATTAGGGTCACTGTCAATACTCACCTTTTTTGAGAAGTACATACTAACAGTTTTAGAGATGTTGAGGTGTAAATGTGAACTCTTGAGCCAGTGATGTACATTAGTCATGACATCAGTCAGTTTCATTACATACATTTCCATTAAGGGGGGGTGTCCAAGCAATTTGACATATTTGAGCATTTTATAAAAAAGTAACACGATTGTTACTTTTCCAGGTAATTAGTTACTTTTATAGTTCAGTAACTCAGTTACTATCTCAGTTACTTTTTGGGGAAAGTAACAAGTAACTATAACTAATTTTTTAAAGTAACATTCCCAACACTGCTGATGAGTGATTGCAAATATGACAATGAATTCTGTACTAAGTGTCCAACCAAACAGTTAGTTAGTACAGTTAATAATAATAATAATAACAATAAATTTTATTTGTAACGCACTTTATATTTAACGAAAAATCTCAAAGTGCTACAACAGCAAGAAAAGAAAAAATAAGTTAAAACAAGAGTTAAAAGCAGTTATCAAAATAACACAAGCAAAAATTACAGATTAAAAGATTTTTTAAAAAGGTACGTTTTAAGGCGTTTTAAGGAACCCTCAGGTGTTCTGGGAGGGTGTTCCACAGTCGAGGGGCAGAGGAGCAGAAAGCTCGATCTCCCATTGGGGGGAGAAGTCTGTGATTGTTGGTGGAGCGGAGTGAGCGTGCTGAGGTCTGGGGGGTGAGGAGTTCTTTGAGGTACTGGGGGGTTTTGCCATGGATGCACTGGAATGTGAGGAGGGAGACTTTGTAGTCGATCCGAGCGGAGATGGGTAGCCAGTGTAGTGAGTGAAGAATGGGTGTGATGTGCTCATATTTACGTACTCTCAGCAGGATTCTAGCGGCGCTGTTTTGAATGTGTTGTAATTTCTGTATGCTCTTGCTGGGAATCCTGCTGAGAAGTGCGTTACAGTAGTCGAGTCTGGAGGAGACAAAGGCGTGGATGAGCTTCTCTGCATTTCTTAAGGTGAGTGTGGGACGAAGTCTGGCTATATTCCTCAGGTGGAGAAATGATATTTTGCAGAGGTGATTTATGTGGGCCTCAAAGGTTAGCTGGGGGTCGAAGCTGATACCAAGGTTAGTGACTGTTGATGATAGAGGGATGTCCTTGCCAGAGAAAGTAATGCAGGTTATGGAGGAGTTTCGAATCTGATGACGGGAACCAATGAGGATGGCTTCAGTTTTCGAGCTGTTCAGCTGGAGAAAATTATGTCTCATCCACGCCCTTATCTCCTCCAGACATGCAGTGAGCATGGAGAGAGGTGATACTGCTGATGGTGGTGGATGAGTGTCCGTTTTGATGTATAATTGCGTGTCATCTGCGTAACAGTGGAAAGATATCCCGAAGCGTCTGATGACTTTACCGAGGGGGAGCATGTAGAGAATAAACAGGATGGGTCCAAGCACCGATCCTTGTGGAACCCCGCAGCCAACAGCATGTGAGCGAGACCTTGATCCTCCCATGGCAACGTATTCTGACCTGCCAGTGAGGTAGGACTCAAACCAGCTCAATGCTGTGCCTCTGAGGCCAACAGAGTCATGTAGATGCTGGAGCAGTATGTGATGGTCGACCGTATCAAATGCTGCAGAAAGGTCGAGGAGGATGAGGAGGGATGGTGAACCAGAATCAGCAGTCATCAGCAGATCATTTGTAACTCTCAGTAAAGCTGTTTCCGTGCTGTGGGCGGAGCGGAAGCCAGATTGAAACTTTTCAAAGATGTTGTTGTGTTGGAGGTGATCCTGTAGGTGGCCGGCAACTACTTTCTCTAGAAGTTTGGAGAGAAATGGCAAATTGGATATGGACCTGTAGTTTGCAAGTACCTGAGGATCAAGGGTGAGTTTCTTGAGAAGTGGTTTGATAATGGCTGTTTTTAGTGCAGATGGTATATGGCCAGTCTGAAGAGATTGGTTTATAACTGTGGTAATCAGAGGACAGAGGGCAGAGCTGTGCGCTTTCACCAGGGCAGTGGGAAAGGGGTCGAGGGCACAAGTGGAGGGTTTCATCCCTTTAATGATGTCTTGCACCTCAAGTTGAGTGATTTCTGGAAAGGAGCAGAGGGGCGACGTGATACCAGTCTGAGGGTTGACAGCTGGAACAGACAAGGGGGAAGGAACGGAGAGGGATGAGCGAATAGTATCAATTTTGGTTGTAAAAAAGTCCATGAAGTCATTACAGTGATCTTGTGTAATTCCTGTAAGTGGTATAAACACAAGACCCCTACTGTAAGCAGGGCTGTCCCAAGCTGATACTAGGGATTGGTATCAAGGCTAATGGAGCCATATTTTGGTGGATGGTATCAGGTGAAATAAAACTGATCTAAATGAGATCCTGTCTTTAGGGCCTGTTTTCACATGTTCCCAATGAAGACAAAGCATATGTGGCCACAGGTGGCCGCCAAGAGAAAAAGTGTCACGCCCAGCGTCTACTATCATAGCAAAGACAGAAAAGCCCACTTGTGGGAGCAGATTGGCCAGACACTGGATGTTGCTGGTGAGTGTTGTGCTTTCATCACTATACCATTTTAAGTTTCTTGTTGACTTTGTAGTCAACCCTCTGTTGCCGTAGCTTTATATTAGATACCTAGCTAACCTGTCAAGGTATTAGGGTTGGGCGATAATATGGTAATAAGAAATCCCGCAGTATCTAAAAATAGCAATGGTATCAGTTTCATTACCATCATTAAAAAAATGTGCCGCGCATATAGGCCTATAGAGGACTGATATAATATTAAATATAGTTTATTTAATGCCTAAATAATGAGTGATTGTCCAGCACCTATGTATGTGTGGTTGAGTTTTCAATTTAATGCTATTACAATTTAAAACTAATAGTAGGCTATAATGTTTCTCTTATAACTGCCCTTAACTGTTGTTGGGAGATGACATTTGATAAAGTTTTTGGATGTGACGTCGTCAGGTGACAGCTCAGACGTTTGAAAGAGAAGAAAAGATGGCAAGCCGTGCATCAAGCAAGTTGGTCCCCAAAAACCCCACAACTTCACAACTTCTGCAAGCAGCAGCAGCAGGACCAATGGCCATCAGAGTGGAGGAGGGAGAACCCGAACCACCGAAAAACAGTTGACTTTGGGCCGTCACCTTCAAAGAAGAGCCTATGTGGTGGCAGGTCAGGTCGGCACCATACAAGAGCGAGCAGGAGCAGAGATAACTGCCTGTTGTCGCGAGCCTGTTATTCAGGGAGACGAAGACCCCTTCTCAGGTGGAAATGTGATGGAGCCGGGCGTTTTCCTCTGATGTCGAGGGTTGCCT